ATATGGATGTGGCTCATAATTAAACAGGAGGGGTTACGCAGGTTTTGGTCCATGTTTCCACTTGCCAGATTTCCATTTCGGTACCGGTTTTTTAAGCCACAGCCTTATATATATATATATATAACAACTATACATATATACATATATATATATATATAATCATGTAATGAAGTGCACGCTTGCTTGTACGCTGTGACACTAACGAGCGCACTCCCGAAGGTGTGTGCCGCTCAAGGAGCCTGTTTTTGAAAGGTGTGCGACCTTGCAGCCATGAGATTCCTGGCACCCATGTACGGTGGCTTCTTTGGTGGGCGGCGCTGACCGATTGCATTATGATCCTGTCCTCCCTTCGCTGAGGTGTTGTTGCAGTTTGGGAAGATCACCACCGGCTTTGCCATTGAGCTTGGCGACGTCGAGCGCCGGTTGTTTCTGGAATTGACAACTTTTTAGTTTGTTCTTGCTTTCGGGTTGTGCGCTTGTTGACCGGTCACTGCCCGTTGCGCTGAATTTGTGTGACGCAAACAAGCATAACATCTGAATCGCTGGACTCCTTGAAGCGTGTCACTTCGCACACATTGCTTGCATGTTGGTTCTGCCTAGAACTTCAGAGCTTGTGAAATGGGTCTGGGTGCCTCGAGCACGAAGACCTGTTTCCGTACAAGCCAAGCCCAACAAAACCGACCATTCCTTTTGCGTTGGCGTTGGCGTAGCCAGTTGATTGCTTCCTTGATGGCAGTACTGAGTGGCCAGTCGCGCTGTCGCCGATGACGGTCGGCCCCCGCCCTAAGGTGGAGAGGCCGCAGCGCTGCCTGACCTGCTTGGCCGAAGAGAGACTGCGCCACAAGCTGCAATTTGCCTGCCAAAGTCTCGAGGCTTCAGCTGCTCATCCAACGAAATCTGCTTGAGCTGGCTGTCCAGACGATCCACTCTTGTTGGTATTGGGGCTACAACTGCCTTGTCCTGAAACAGCTGAAGTTCAACTCCTTCGGGGCTCCGGTGCTGCAGGCGCACGAGGACCTGTCCGCCATACAATGTCCAGCAGAGCATTGGGACGCGAGCAGGCGTGCTTTGCGCAGCCAGCAGGGCCGCCCTCTTCTTGAACCAGGTCTGCGCCAATGGCTTCCTGTGTGGCGACATTGACGACGAGTGCTGCCGCAGCTTCGCGAAGGCATCGTGCAGGACATCTATGCCCTCGTCCACGACCTCCAGGACACCACTGACCATTGGTTCGCGAACCTTGGGGGGCACGTCAAGAAGGTGCACAACAATGGCAGGGGCCAGACCACGCTCCAGGTGCCTGCCTTGGAATGGTTGGCACGGAAACTCAGCTGGCCAGACATGGCCATGTTCAACGAGTTGACAGAAGGCTTCCCTCTCCTAGGGCAGATAGCGCCTGCATGGTGCTGGCTGGCGACTTCGGAAAAACGAGCGCTACCAGAACCCTACGCCGCTTGAAACCTTCTTCAAGGAAAACCACGAGTTTGTAAAGCAGAAGCTCTAGCGTGCCAAAGTTGATGAAGATTGGTTCACCATGGCTCGGGAAATTGCCGAGGATGTGCGCGTCGGACGAATGAAAGGGGCCATTTGAGTCGCCGCTGGAGTGGCCCAAGAGGACAGTTGGCCTGCCCCAGTTTCAGCACACTTCGGAGCTTCTGCCGTTCCTAAAAGGGCAGGTCGCCGTCTCCTTCGCATTTGCGGTCCACCAGACAGGGGCCGACAACAAGCCGAAGGTGAGACGGGCAGAGGACTGGCGTCGTTCAGGTGCCAACAGCACTATACAGCAGCTTACCATGACATCCAGGCCTTCGTACAGGTAGCAAGGGCAATCAGGGACGATGGTGATTTGTTCCCGCTATGCACCTGGGGCTTAGATCACGAAGCAGCCTACAGACAGTTGCCTGCCAGAACCCCCAACCACACGTTGCCAACGTTGTGGAGACACAATGCTTTGACGTTTGGGAGTGCTGCCAGTGTCTGGAGCTATTGCAGAGTGGCAGACTTCATGGCGTGGCTCACTCGTTGTTGCTGATCACGCCCACACTTCACTTTGTGGACGATTTTGGGGGCACCGAGAGATCCTAAATGCCGAACACAAAGTCAAAAGCGGTCCCGCCGAGCAAGCTCGTGATTGGGGCCTTGAAATGCTTGAGCGGGCTGCGCCATGAAGTCCGCCAAAATGAAAAACCACTTGGCGACGCCAAGGTGCCACCCGATGGCAAGGGCTAGTACGCGGAGCACACCCCCGCAGCTCCGGCTTGAAAATCGCAACTTTTAAGTACAAACGTAGTACGCGGAGCGTGCTCCTGCAGCTCCGGTTGGAAAATCGCAAATTTTAAGTACAACGTAGTACGCGGAGCACATTCCCGCAGCTCCGGCCTGAAAATCGCAACTTTTAAGTGCAAACGTAGTACGCGGAGCGTGCTCCTGCAGCTCCGGTTGGAAAATCGCAATTTTTAAGTACAACGTAGTACGCGGAGCACATTCCCGCAGCTCCGGCTGGACAATCGCAACTTTTAAGTACAAAAATAGTACGCAAAGTACATTCCCACAGCTCCGGCAGCACTTGCGCAGAGCAACTTGCGCAGAGTCACTTGCGCAGAGCAACTTGCGCTCTGCGAATTGCACAGAGCACTTGCACACAGCACTTGCGCAGAGCAACTTGCACAGACTAACTTGCACAGAGCACATGCGCAAAGCGCTCGCACGGAGCAACTGGCGCAGAGCACTTGCGCAGAGCAACTTGCTCAGAGTACTTGCGCAGAGCAACCTGCACAGAGCACTTGCGTGCAGCAGCGTGCAGAGAGCAACTTGCCCGAAAGCAGCCTGGAACAATGCAGCTTGCGCAGACCACTTTCGTGAGAAATCATGCAGCGCAACTTGAGCAAAGCACATTGCGCTGAGCAGACTCGCGCAGAGCCACGCTTTATAGAGCCAAGTTGCGCAGAGCCACTCGCGTAAAGTAGCTTGCGCGCGCCAGGTAGCAGCGCGCCAAGTTGCGCAGAGCCATCTTGCGCAGAGCCAAGTTGCACAGAGCCAACTTGCACAGAGCCAAGTTACATAGAGCCAAGTGGCACAGAGCCAAGTTGCGCCGAGCCAAGTGGCGCAGAGCCAAGTTGCACGGAGCCAAGTTGCACAGAGCCGAGTGGCACAGAGCCGAGTGCCACAGAGCCAAGTGGCACGGAGCCGAGTGGCACAGAGCCGAGTGGCACAGAGCCAAGTTGCACAGAGCCGAGTTGCACAGAGCCAGCTTGCACAGAGCCAAGTTACATAGAGCCAAGTGACATAGAGCCAAGTTACCATAGAGCCAAGTTACCATAGAGCCAAGTTACCAAAGAGCCGAGTTACATAGAGCCAAGTTACCATAGAGCCGAGTTACATAGAGCCAAGTTACATAGAGCCAAGTTGCATAGAGCCAAGTTGTACAGAGCCAAGTTGCACAAAGCCAAGTGGCACAAAGCCAAGTTACACAGGGCCAAGTTACCATAGAGCCGAGTTACATAGAGCCAAGTTACATAGAGCCAAGTTGCATAGAGCCAAGTTGTACAGAGCCAAGTTGCACAAAGCCAAGTGGCACAAAGCCAAGTTACACAGGGCCAAGTTGCACAGAGCCAAGTTGCATAGAGTCAAGTTACATAGGGCCAAGTTACACAAAGTCAAGTTGCACAGAGCCAAGTTGCATAGAGTCAAGTTACACAGAGCCAAATTACATAAAATCAAGTTACATAAGACCAAGTTGCACGAGCCTGCTTTGCAGAAGCTGTTGCATCGATGTAACAGGGCGTCTCCACGGCTGGAAAAGCACATGATGGGAAGCGCTTGGGGAAAAATGCTTTCGGGCCAATCGTCCTCTAGTTTTGTATGTATACATACACGTTTGAACTCAAGCGACAATCAGATGATATGGCAGTTTTCTGGAGGACACTGGCTGCTGGGATCTGTTTGGCGCAAAAGAAACGAATAGCAGCCGTTCGCATGGCTGGTTACCCGCAGGTGACGTGCCTCAGCTGCTTGCCAGCCACAGAGCCAGGTGGGCGGATGAAGGCCGGGAGTGAATGGGATGTGGCCAGCTGCTTGATTTTCCCAGCAGAGGCGGCAAACTGCACGGGGTTTGAGGTTTTTGGGGTTTTGGGGTTTTGGGGTTTTGAGGTTTTGGGATTTTTGGATTTTTGGGGTTTTGGGGAGCTTTCTGGAAGGCCAAGCCGACTTCGCGTTTGGATGCGCTGTGAGTCAACACGGTTTGCCTTGCCAGGCCAAGCAGATCCTTTCAACGTGTCTGCGCTGTGCAGCATGAGCGAGAGCGGGGCGCGCGGTGAGCGCCGAACGCTTTTTATGGTGGGGCGCCGGTCTGTGAGCCAGCAACCCGTGTTAATGAGTGCCAGCGACGGGCTGCTTGCGACGTGGTGAGCCGGGCTGAGGCTGGGGTCCACCGGTCAACTGCCGGTGGCTTGTCGTTTTAAGGAAAGGGCACCGTCTGGGACCTGCTGTGGGCCTGTCAGGCCTTCAGCCGGTGACCTCCTGCATTAGTTTATGTGGTCACCGGCCAAAGAGCGCCCAGGCACACCTGCTCCCGCTCAGGATCCCAAAGGCTCCTGGTGCGATGTCGAGAGGATGCTTTGCAAAAGCCCGCGGATTGGTGCGTGAGACATTAGTGTCCGTCTCCGCCTCCCTAGTCACAAGACTGCCAACTGGGCATGGCAAAAACATTTGTAGGCATTGGTACGCCACGGGACCCCCGTTGTCATCAATTGGCAGAGGGCCGCATTCTGACCCTTTTTGCTAGGATCTACCTGTCATTTGGTGCCTTTTGGAGTGTTGGAACACATCCTTCGAATCTTTTCATTAGGGAATGCACCCTATAAACCATCCCCTCTGGTTTCCTTTAAGGGAATCCCCAGCTTCATTCCATTTCTCATTCCCTGCATCTCTCGCACCGATCGCAAGTTGTAGCTGTGCTTTTCGACCCGCCGCACGGGGGCGTGTTGGCCCGTCTTTGCGCCCAGGTGGTGCAGCACTACGTGAAGTTCCCTGGCTTCGATTCCGTGCCAGCAGGTCTTGGTGCAGTGGCCACCCCGCCGGAACCTCGGCTTTCCAGCGAGACGAGAAGGGGAGCGGTTCGAGCGGCTCGAGCGGGCTTGAGCGGTTCGAGCGGCGAGCCGGGCCCAAGACGAAGGGAAGGACCTTTGAAGGAAAGGGCTCCCAAGTGCTTGGAACGCCTGCACATTGTGGAAAGGACAGCGCCACCAAAGCAAATTGGGAGGTGATTGCATGTATATGGACGGCATGTGAGGGCATCTCTGGAGTCTTGTTTCACTTGCGATTGTTGGGTGAATCAGAGGTCGGGCACCCTAAACGGTGTAGCCTCTCGAGAAAGTGATCAGAGTGTTGGTGTTGGCGGAGCACAAGAGTTGCCCTGGCTTCATGCTGACGTACCTAAGTCTACTGTCGTGAGCTTGCCAAAGTATTGTGGAGCTGTCACCAAACGCTGTTTCCAAATCTCACGATTTGGACGAGGGCGCGCATGTAGGCAAGCCACTCTTGATGAGATCAGCCGCTGTGATCGTTTGTTACGTCAGACTTCGTAAGCTTACAGCAGGCTAAGCACGCTAGGTCTTGATGCCATGCCTTTGATTTGGCAGAACAAACGACTTGAAACAGGCGTGCTGAAGCTGTCACTCCTGTGCTTGGCATCTCTTCTTTCCCCTCGGCTTCGGTTTGGTTCTGGTCGATGACCCAGGCCGGGCACCTTCGGATTCGCCGCTGGGGCTCCCAGACCAGCTTGGCTTGATGTGGCGCTCACAGAAAGCGGGCCAATTGCTGTCCAAAGCTTGTGTGGCACTCCAGGTGTTGCTCCCACGTTGCTTCATGGCATGTTTTTTTTCCCCCCCCTTTTTTTGTTTGTCTTTTTCCACCTTCATGGAAACGAAGGGTATTGGCTTGCAGTCCCAGCGTTTGACGACTGTTTGGCGACTGTTTGCTTGTTCTTTTTGATGGAATCCAGTTGCCTTTGCTTGCCCTTTTCATTGCTTACACGGGCTTTATTTATTCTGGGTCTCGTCGCGGCACTTTTGGTGATTCCGGGGGACCAGCAACAGACAACACCAACCTCGTAAAGGGCAAGAAAGTGGATTCACTTGTGAGTCTGATGTGTTTGTAGGACTGCGTGAATTAATCATGACACTTTTGCTGGCCGCCTGAGTTTGTGGAAGGCAGCATGTCCAGAGAACGGCGCTTTCGCGCGATGAGGCGGTGTGATGCCCACCGGCACACTGGTGCCTATTGAAGCTTGTTCTACGGCCAATTTTTGTGCAGACTAGGGTGTTCGAGTTGGGTTGGCCTCTCCGCTCCCTATGGGTGTTGCAGGTGATTGAAGCACTGGGTGCATTGGCTGACTGCAAGAGATCAGGGATGCAGACTTGCAAGACATTTCTCGGCAGCTGAAGGGAGCTCCGGCAAATAAAGAGAGCATGTATTCTATTGCTTAGACTAAATGTGGACTAAATGGCGGCTTCGTTGGTAAGGTTTGAGCTAGGCATCGGGAAAAGCACAGAGGCCTTTGCTCCTCCGAGGCGCTCTTTTTGGCCTCTGGCGCCATGGAACTCGGCGTGTGGACGCAGGAGTGTGGGGCAAGCAGGTCACCAGAGCGCTTGTGCGGTGAGCTGAAGACCACGCCGATCGCCAGCGCGCGTGTGGCAGTTAGGCCACCATTGCAACACAGATTCAAAGAATTTAGCGCGCCTTCGGAAGGCGGGGATCTCTGTTTGGCTCCTCCGTTTTGTTCGGCGAGACAAGGCCGACTTGGCGAGACATGTTGCGCTTCGCCTCTTCGCCATGGGTCGCCTGGGGGGGCGGGGGGGAGTTGCCGACTTTCTCAGGACCCCAACAAGGAGGCAGGCGACTTCGGCGACCCCCTGGGCGCACGCCCCAGCCTGACACCAGGTGAGCCAGAACCAAAATCCGGGTAGATGAAGGTTAGTAAGGCAATCCCCTGGCCATAAACAGCTGCGGATATCCGCCTTCTTGATTCTTGAAGCATGGTTCTGGGTAGACCATTTTAACACCGGGTTTTGATATGCCACTTTCACCGCGGTGAGGCCTCGGCCAGTACGACGAGGAGATGCGCAACAAGGAGACTCCGGCTTCCTGGCACAGCCGACTTCATCGCACATGTATCATGAACCAAGCGAGCCACCGTATTGTTGGGATCTCCGTTTGGTGTGTGTCTGGGTTTTAAAGAAAAAGACCCCCCTTTAAAAACCAAGCCCTAAAAGGGTGCCATCAACAAAAAGGAGCCACAGCCCTATCAGACCAACAGCTGCTTCGCAGCGAAGAGATTTCTCCGATTTCAACGGCAGGAGCTGAACAACGGCCGCTTCGCGATGCTGCCGCCTTGGAGCCGATGATGGGTCAAGACTGTTTGCCCTGGAGCACTTTTGGGGTGAGGTTTGAATTGGTGTCCCTTTTTGTGATTATTTTTAAACGTGGAAGTAGTATCAGCATCATCATTTTGTTGCCGATTGCACAACACCTCAGTACAGGAAGGGGAAGAAGGGAGGGGAGGGGGGGGTGGGGAAGGGGAGGGGAGGGGAGGGGAAGGGAGGAAGGGGAAGGAGAAGGGGAAGGGGAAGGGGGAGGGGAGGGAGGGAAGGAGGGAAGGGAGGAAGGGAGGGGAGGGAGACCGCGACTCAGAGATGCCAGCCCAGGTTTGCAGCCTTGGGCATTATCTCTGCTGATCTCCTCACTGGCAAGGACGCTTTGGATCGGGGGTCGAAGTTGTGGTTTTGGTGCACACGGGCTGAGAGCGGGTTCCAGACCCTTTAACAACAAGACTTCAAATCCAACGTGTTCACCTTCAGATGGCTGTGGGTCAAAAATAGGTACCCAAAATGGCACCCTGGTAAATGGAAACAATGACTAAACCTGTGGTCCCGTGGTGGTTTAATTTTGTCCCATACCCAGCTGTGTGGATGTTCGAAACTCTGATGTCTCCGACGCAGCCCGGCCGCAACGGATGAGCTTTCTATTGTTGCACGGATGGCATGGTAAACAGATTAGTAATCTAGGGGTTGATTCCTTTTCCATTCTTTTCAACCATCGTTCTTTTCAATCACCAGCTGTTTTCCCAGGGTTTTTGGTGGTCTTCTAGAAAGAAGGATCCCTGGAAAGCATGGGGAAGCTACCCTTAGAAGTAAACCGTCAACGCCGTATTTTCCGTGGACAGTACCTAAAGCACGTCAGCGCGCTTCACGCCTTCGCACGCGCCTCCAGGATGCCATGCAGCAGCTGCGGCCTGAGCTGCTTTGTCTGGATGACTTCTCCTTTCAACTTCCAGGGTTAAGCGATAGCCATTTTTTTTTTCTTCTCGGTCAACGACTCTTTATCGTTTCCTTACCGTGGTGTAATTGGTCTAGTTTGGTGATTCGGGGGCCACACCTCTTGATGCGGGGAAGACCGTGAAGCAGCAGTTGGATATGAATTGCGAGCTCTCGTTTTTTTCTTCTTCCCCAAGCTCCAAGAGCAACCTGGCAAAGCAGGAAAGCTTTTTCAAACAGCTTGAATGGTGCAAGGTGTTTCTACATTCCGGTACATTCGAGAGTTGCGTCGCCCGGGGGGGGGGGGCACCTTCCCGCGCGGCGGGGGCAGGTTTGGCTTGTAATCCGCCGGGGCCTGAGCGCCGGGGATCAATGCTGACGGGCTGCTTTTGTCTCGGATGGATCTCAGGTGACCATGGAGAGCGCTTGGGGGTTCGCAACACATGTTCCTGTTTCCATGACCCGGATCAATTCCCCTTGGCGGAACGTCATATGTTCCCTTTGCAGCAGCTTGTCATGCCACTTCTGTGAGGCTGATTTGTTTGCCGGGCTGGTCGTGGTTTTTAATTTTTCCGCAGACTCGCCCACACCGGCCTGCACTTGGGAATGCACCTCAGGTTGGACTCCTTCACAAGCCAAGCTGCCTCCGTGGTCATGGTATCCCAGGCGCGAGAGCAGTCGCGGCACCGGCGCGAGAATTGTTCTTACTTGGCCATGGGGCATAACCTATGGCGATCCCATTTTGGGGTGGATGAACATTGCCACCTATTTTGGATGTTCACCAGGGGTTTCCTGGGTTTTGAGCCACACCCACTTGAGGCCAAAACTGTGCAGCTTGGATGTCTTGGATGCAGACCTGGTCACTGTCGCTGCAACAACAGCAATTCTGGAAGAATTGTTGCAAAGACCATCAGATTTTGTCTCTTTCAGCACCTGCTTGGTTCCGAATCAAGCAAGGAAACGTGGGCAGAGTATTCGATGCTTTGTTCAACACCTTGTGGGTCTCTAGGCATTTTGAGCGACTGAGCCTTCAATCCATGTACCCTGCATGGCTTCTGGGTTCCGGGGCCCCATTTTTGAGCCTGGATGGCAGTTGCCGATCTGGGGAAAGGCTTTTCTGGGCGCCTGTCTTTATTTTGCTTTGATCAGAAAGAGACAAGAGTTTCCATACACAACTGAACAAGGGCAACCTGTGCGCATACGTGCACCCCAAACCTGCAAGCGTGAGATATCCCAGGGACATGACCTGCGCCCAGAACCTTTCCACACGGTGAAAGACTTCAAGACCTCCGATCGCCAGCACACCTCAACCTTTAGTTGCGAGTCTCGAGGCTGCTGAATACTATCGCGGCCTCGGTGAGGCTACGCCTCTTTGTTCCTCAAGCATTTTGCCAAGCTTGAGGTATCAATTGATTTATAGACCTGGACTGCTCGGTAGATGGCAAGGCACCGTCTGCTGTGTTTATGTGTCCTCTTTGCCTTTTTGGCTTTGGCCTGCTTCTTTTCAGCATTTGCTGGTGTTCTCCCACAGGCCTTTGCATCAGCTGGTCCAGTGACGGAACTCAGCTGAGGTCTTGTTTTTTCACTTGCCAGCCTCATGCAAAGACCCCCGAAGCATTCGGAGCTGTGGAGCCTGGACATGAGTCGGCAGTTTGCGCCATTCTTTGCTTAGCAAAAGCGGCGGCTTGGCCTGTCTCAGAGCGCCCGGCCGCGAGTCTTTTTTTTGATCCCTCGGTTTGGCAGGCTGGGTCCACCCAGAGCTGATTGAGAGCAGTTTTTGCTGCTGCCGTTGGCGTCGTGTGACCATGTTTGCCATTTCTGTCTTGATAGTCCCTCTCAGAACGAGTGACCACAGACACAATAGGAGCCTTGCAGATCGCCAGGGTTCACCTACATACTTGATAGACTTGATTATATTTGGTTCTCTTTGTTGTACACTGGGCGGATGTTTGGTATCGTTCCATGAGAAGCTCTCTCTCTCTCTCTCACACTTAATGTGTATGTATTTCTACATGTACATACATATATATATATATATAGACGCATATACACCGGTCTACACAAGTTCGCAAACTCTTGAATCCCACTAATCGATGCTGTAGTACTTGACTGAAACGCTGAACATGGCAAGCTTCCTTCATGGCATATTTGCTCTTGCTTTGATCCGAACAGTGACCTTGACCTCTTCTTTTAAATAAACACGAGTTGCTTGGGCACACGTCACTTGCAATGCATCCGTGGTCCACGATTTGCAGAGTCGCACTTGGGTGAACTGCCGAGTGTCATGCTTGTGAGACACAGGGTTGTTAAAGGAGGCAGCATGTACGGGTCCAAATGGTCAAACTTAAACCACCAGGAACTGGAACGCAGACTTGAGTCCTTGTTTCCATTTGCCAGGGCATCCCATTTTGGGGCTACCCTACTGTGGATGGACAAAATCCTGCTTGGAAACCATGTTGAAGCCATTGTTTGTTGGTATTTACAGGGAAATCATCCTTCCAGGGCTCTGAGGTGGTGCGAAATGGATTTCGTCCATATTTCTGGCCCCACTGCCCTAGATTGCATGCGTCAAAAGAATCGGTACCCAAAAGAGAACCCTGGTAAATGGAATCATGGACTAAAAACCTGCGGTCCATATCCTGGGGGTTTAATTTTGACGCATACCCACACGCACGGCCCAATTTTGAAGCCTATCCGCCACTCGTCGATTCCTGGCTCGGGAGTGCCTCGTTGATTTTCCAGTCTCCAGGCCCGGGCCAAGTGGAGACTGCCAGAACCAATGCACTTCATGGTGGGTCTCCAGTTTTTGTTTTCTTTTCTTTTTCTTTTCTTCTCGCCTTCTTCTTCTTCTTCTTCTTATATTTTTTTCCGGACATCATCCCATTGAAGATTTTGCCAGCGTTTTTTTTTTTGGGGGGGGGGGTTGCACCTGTGAGGAAGAAGTGGTACGGAAGACATGATCTGTCCGCTATGACTTGTTGCAGACCCAAAAGGAACTTTGCAAGGGCTGGCCGTGATTCAGCTCAGCACATTTGGCCATGGCTCCCAGATGCCATGCTTCCGGCTCCGGAGAGCCTTTTGGAACGTATGACAATCTGAATCTTTGCAACCTCACATTTCAATATTTCAGTCACGCAGTTTGCGGATTCAGATGATGTGACACTTGATCCTTGCTTTGTGGCCTGCCATTTTCAGGGTATGCATCATGTGCTCATTGAATCCACAAAATGAATCACCAAAAGATCCAATGCACGCATGAGAAAGAACCAACCATCGGAATTTATTGTTTCCTTGCTGGATGAATATCATTTGGAGGTTAGCCTAATTTCAGCATGGTGTATGTAGGGATTGGCCGTCAATCCAACTGTCAAGAGTTGGATTTGCAGGTCCAGAAAGCAATGGCCAGCAACCGGCGCGCTGTTGGCAGCATGCTCAACGACAGTGGAGAGATGCGTTTGACTGAAATGGCCAATCAAGAAGGGCAAAAAACCTGTCCGCTACATCCTGTGGCGTTGAGTTGCCACAGCCTTTATGCCGAAAGGCTATAACAGGCATGTCATTCCAGTTACAGTCTCTTGCGAACATTGTCCTGGATCTCGCACTCGTCTAAGCAAGCCGCGAAAGGAGGTACTCCAACATTTTACAGTGTGAATCCGAGATGAAAGAAGTTGGCTCGGGATCAGGGTCTAAACCTTTGAATTCGGGATCGTTTGTGGTCCTTTTTGTTTCTTGGGGTGGGGGGGGAAGGGGGCGTATGTTGAGGCCAACAAGTATCATTGGTGAGATCATTTGAGGGGCGTTCTTGACTTTACGATCTTTTTGGTCTAACCCATTCCTATACAAGGACCCTCAGCACCAGGTGGCACACCTTGGACAAGTCCCTTAGAGCCGAATGCATTGAACGTGGTCTTGGCTTCTCGAGGCGCTGCAGCGCTCACTGGAGCTCTTGTTGCTGCCGCAGCCTGAGTTTTGCACAACCTTCCCAGTGGGCTGCAGTCTCTCCGCATGGAAAGGCAATCTATGGGTACAAGCCAAGAAGAGACTGGAGCCTTTGGCTGCTTGACCTGCAGACCTCGCGGCGCCCAAGCCATGATTGCCCCTTCCCCGCATTTACAGAAGGCGAACCGAGCGCGTCGCATCCGTGTCGCATCCGTTGCCGAGGCTCCGAGTTTTGTGGCTCCGAGTCAAGCGCCGCGGGAAGCGCCGCGGCCTCGGCGGTCTCGGCGGCCTCGGCGGGCACGGTGCGAAGCATGGCGTGGGCTTCGGGGTCCATCAACGGAGCTTGAAGCGTTTTGTGTGCGTGTGTGTGTGTGGCTGAAAATGAAGCAGCTAGGGTTATGCAACCAGGTCTCTTTTAGTCTTTGTTCCAATGTATCAAGGTGCCATCTTGGGCTTTATTTTCGCCACGGCCACAAAGTAGAGCTCTCGCTTCCGTGACCACTGGTGTTTTCTGCGCAAGCCACCATGCCTCTCGTGCTGGGGGACTGCCCTCATGCCTTCGCCTGTGTCCAAATCTCTTCCTGGCTGTGTCAAGGCAGCAGCATCAGCAGGTTGGACAGTCTGCAGGACTCAGGGCATCTGCGAAAAGCTCAGCGGTCGGTTTCGTTCGGTTCGTGCAGGGATTCTTGGGGTAATGTTGACCCAGGATAAATAAACCCGTCCCATTACTAGGGGGGTGTTCCCTCCAAAAGTGGTCTGAATCCCCACACAAAGGGGACACCCCTATTAATCAATCAGGGGTTTATTAATCCGGGGTTAACATTACAGAAAACTCGTTTTGTTCGGAGAACTCTCGACATGGGAAGCAGAAGCGGTTTTGTGTTTCCGGCAGTTTCAGGCCGTTTCAGGCAGAAGACATGGTATTAACAGTCCGATGACCCGGATGCGTTGAAAGGCCTGCCGACGATGAATCAAACTGCCGTTGTCTTTTTGGCAGGGGCATTTGGCGATTGATGGGCCACAGACGGAGCAGGGAGTTTGATGGTGGTGGCTGTTCTGGGCCGAGAGCAGATCTCGCTCCCAGTTTTATCAGGTTGCTATGGCATCAAGGTTTTTGTGCGTGTGTTTGTTGCAGCACCACAGATTCGTTCCAGCCCCTCAAGAAGACGCCTTTCAACCATCCAAGGTTTATATCGGCGTTTTGTTGCAGCACCACAAGAAGACACCTTTTAACCACCTTTGATTGCTTTCCTTTCCCGAGAAAAAGAACGCCATCCTGGAGCCGGCCGGCCCCTGCAAAAGTATTTTTTGACCTCGCATGCCCCCCGCTGGCATGCGCCCGGAAGCGAAAACTTCCTCGGTGCCAGCGCCCATAGAAAAACATCCTTTTATTAAAAAAAACCCA